ATTTTTTTTTTAATTTAACTAATGCAAAATTGTAAAAAAAGCTAAAAAAAATGTTTTTCTCATATTAACGAAAATTAGACAATCTTCTGAAACAATATGTGGAATGGAATGGAATAAGTCTTCTTATCATGTTTGTAGTAATTAAAGTGTGTAAGAATTTGTTATTTTAATAACTCTTTATTAATATGCGTAATTATAAAATTTCAAATTTAATTGCACTTAGAGTAAAATTCTGGATTTTGGCTGTTTAATCGTATATCTTTAGCCATCCATTATTGACTGACTTGAAGATTATTAAATAAAAAGCCAAATAATTAAAAAATTAAAAATGACCAATAACAAATTTGTGCCCTGTTGTTAAATGTATTCTAAAATGAGAATAAAGTTATCGAAGCAATTCTAATTTTATGTTCATGCCCCAACACTTATTTATTGCATAGCATTTTGGATTAAGAAGAAAAATATAAGTTAAAGTTCAAAAATATTTCTTGAATTAAAAAAGCGGACAAAATTAAATGACAACATAGACTACTCCAAAAAATTAAAGGAACAAAAAATTTTCCTAAATTTTTTGGTGATTTTTGATAGGAAAAATGGTCGTATCTAAATTAAAAAAAATATTTTGAAGCGTTAAGTTTCTAGTTTTGAGATCTTTTGGCAAATATTTTTGTGTGCTACGGTTATCACGCAATTCTAAGTAATAGCGCGAGAAAAAAATTCTACATTTTTTTTTTGTTTTTTATCCACGGACGTGAGGGATTTTTTTTTGTAGTTAAGTCAATGCATAGGCCGGATAGCATATTTGTTCACCTTTAATATGCTTTTTTCATATTCACTTTACGTTATTATGTTTAATTCAAATAAAAAAAAATCAGTATTGTTTCTTGAATTATTTTAAAAATTTAAAGAAATCTAAAACATTTTTTTGATTTTTTTTCAAAAATTAAGCAGTTTATTGTTTCTTAAATGTTTTTACAAATTTTCAAAAAAAATAAACAAAAAATAAATTTTATTTAATTTTTTTTATTTTTAGCAAATAACTAATGCAAAATTGTAAACAAGTCGAAAAAAATTGTTTTTTCATTTTGATGAAGATTAGGCAATGTTGAGAAACAATATATGCAATTGTTTTTTTAATTCCTTTGCAAAACTTTGATCAATCGGTGAGAGAAATCAGTTTGATTTATCGATTTAAAAAAATTAGCAGGGTTGTAGGGAATACTTTAAGCTCTAAAAACACCTAAAAATATTAAATTCCCCATCAAAATTACGCGGTAGATTTACTAAAACAACGTAAAAAGTTTTTACAAAAAAATCATAACAAATTCTCGTAAAGAAAATTAAAAAAAAACATTTTAAACGTAAAAAAGCATGTTATCTGGCCTATGAATTGACGTAACTAAAAACAAATCTCCACGTTCGTGGACCAAAACCAAGACCATAAAAATTTTGGATTTTTACTTAGAATTGCGTGATAACCGTAGCACAAAAAAATATTTGCCAAAASAAAAAACTAGAAACTTAAAGCTTCAAATTGTTAAAAAAAATCTAGATTCGACTATTTTTCGCTGAGTTACAGCCTTTCAAAAATCACCAAAAAAATTGGGAAAATTTTTTATTCCCTTAATTTTTTGTAGTAGTATGTTATCCTTTGACGTCTCACTCGCACCACCCTGTATTTAAAATTTTTGCATACTTACCGCAACGCAAGAAAAAACAATGCTGACCAAAAATAAAATTCCGGTGATTGAATAAATAGGAATCCATTTTTTCAGGAAATCCATTCCTTGATTAGCTGCACTAAATAACATTTTTTGTTAACTGATCAGTTAATTTCATGATGCATTTACGTCAATATTTGGATGTGTCTTTTTACACAAAACTGTATTCTCCTTTTTACCTCTTTTTGATACGAAACATTTTTCAGCAAAATCGAGTCGATTTCGTCAAAAAACTCGATATTTGTGATATTTTCGACATATTTTTGCAACAAATAAACCTGAAATTTGAATTGCTGAATGACGTATAAAAGCTGGTGGGCACAAGTCACAACAACCAATCCCAATAAGAGAAACGTCGCTCTATAAATCCAAATCAAAATTGTGGCACAAGTTTTATCCAAAAATTTGTTAAAAAAATATACAGGGAAGAAAACGTCCTTGTCTAATTCCACCGGTGTGAGAAATGTAAATATTGCCACAAGGGTTAAAATCAAGTTTGTTATAACGAAACAAGTGCAGAAAATGGCTTCTTTCCGGATTTCTTGATAAATTTTATCATCGATCGTATTTAAGGCCCAACGATTGCATTTTTTCAATATGCGGGTGACTATATTGCCTTCGTAAAGGAGTGTTATTAGACTCAAGTTTATGTAAAACATGGCGAAAAAAACAGCACTGTATTTGATGAAATCGTCGAAGGTTTGAATGAAGCAAATAAAGTAGATTTGGATGAGGAGAACTGCGATGTGGAAAAGTAAAACAATTGTCATTAAAAATCTGGTGAAAGGTTTGTTTAAAATATCAACAGCTAGGAGCCGAACAATCCAAAGAGGATCATCTGAAAACAGTTTTTTTTTCAATTTTTTGGGCAAAATTTCAGCTACTCACTATCAAAAGGTGTTTGCTCTGAAAAATCCATGACAATAACTAACTAATGTTCATTCAAAATCATTTATTTCAACTTAGAAATAATAATCAATAAAATTATGAATAAAATTCTTTTGATCAGGAAACACAAAACGTGTTAATTATTAATTATAAAATGTTTTTGGTCGAAGCTCATCATTATTATGCTATCATCAGGTTTTTAATAATTCTATAGTTTATTCTGTTTATTTACAGGGTGATTCAAATAATTCTGCCACCTTGGTTAAATACTATATACACAAAATAGTGTGAATCACTCTGTACAATGATTTAAACCTGAAATGGGACTCCAAGAATAATAAAACAAAAAAATTGAATAGAATTTTTTTATTTGAAAATTTGAATTTTGTTACAAATTTTTAATGAAAATAAATTAAAAATTTTATGAAAATAGCAATACATAGAAAATTAAAAKCGATGAAGTAAATATTTATATTTAAAATTTAATACTTGTTCAATTTTTGTTTTACAAATAACGAAAGAGGAAAACTTATTTAAAAATTATTAAATATGATAAAAAAAGTTAATAAATATGATTCTTAGTGCAATTCAAATTTTTACTTTTAAAATTTCTAAAATGATAATTCACTTCATTACTCCAAATTTTACTCTAGGATGTTTTTTATTTATTCAAAGTGCTAAAGAAAAGTTTCTTACTTTTTCACATGTAAAAACTTCTACAAATAATAATTAACTAGTTTTATTTAAAAAAAATTTTAGAAAGATTAGAAGAGTATTAATTAACAAAATGATTTTTACACAAAAAAAAATATATTTTTATTATTCGAAAAAGTTATAATCTACAAATATTAAACTTCTGATTTCTTATAATCCAAGTTAATTAATTAAATTTAAAAAAATTAAAAAAATACACTTTTTAGGTATACAGGGTGCGCCAGAACTCGCGCACCCGAGAAAAATGCCATGATAGCAGGAACATGAAAAAAAAAATGTAAAAAAAATCTATCTATAAAAATTTCGAAGTTATGAGAGTTTAAATTTTGAACTTTGACTCTCTTTATTTCTGTTGAAAAAATAATTTTCTAAGTTTTTTTGCATCAGGTTATTATAAGAGAAAACAAGAAAGCTAAATCGTAAATTATAAAAAAAAAACATATACAAGATCATCAGTATCACTAAATAGATAGAAAAAAAAATGTCAAATGTCAAAAAATAAATGTCAAAATTTTTTAACAGAATTTTTTAAACATTTCTTTCATGTTTTTGGTATCTTATCTTACTTGGAATTTTTTTCAGGGGCGCGAGTTCTGTATATTTACGTGTTACAAACATTTTTTTTTGTTGAAGCTACCACAAACACTTTTAAACTTTTTATTATGTGTCAATAATTTCTCGAAAATAGTACCTAATTAATTTTTTGGATATTAGTACCTAAAATGATTATTTTACATGCTATTTTATTAAGTCCGTAAAATACAAATTTTTATTGCATATAATAAATTTCTTGTATAATAAACACGTACCTAATATAAAACTCCCTTGGACTGAATCAAAAAACACAAGACAGAGTAAACCAACTTAGCTATTTTAATTCCTATCTCGTAACTTATTATCAAATTATCAGAAAACTTGATATAGTAGGGCTCTTTAACAACTATACTCATGATGGCAAATTGGATAAATGTAATTGTAGTCACAAGTAATAAAAATAAGTTTATTATTACGAAACGAGTGCAGAAAGTAGCTTCTTTTTGCATTTCTTGATAAATTTCGCCATCGAGCGTGTTTAAGACCCAACGATTGCATTTTTTCAAAATAGGGGTGACCATATCGCCTTCGTAAAGTAGTGTTATTAGACTCAAATTTACGTAAAACATGGCGAAAAAAACAGCACTGTATTTGATAAAATCGCCGAAGGTTTGAATGAAGCAAATAAAGTAGATTTGGATGAGGAGAAGTGCGATGTGGAAAAGTAAAAGAGTCGACATTAAAAATCTGGTAAAAGGCTTGTTTAAAATATCAATGGATAAAAGTCGAACGATCCAAAGAGGATCATCTAGGAAGAAAAATGTTTTCTAAACTATTTTTTTTAGTAAAAAAATTCAAAGTAATCTATAGAAACTGAAAATGTTACATAAAATCACTGAAAAAAAATTGTTCACTAACTTTTATTTATCTTCCTCACACTTTATTTTCACCATCTGAAATTTCAAGAATCTGTCAAAATATGTACTTTTTTTCAAATGACACAAACACATTTTGTATAATTGTCTTTTTTAAAACAAAATTAACCTGTTTCGTTTTTTTGCAATTTTTTTCTAGTTCGTTTTTATTAGAACACCCTGTAACTCATGAATGGATGGTCTGATTCAATTTTGGTAAAAAGTTTTGAAAAGCTTGTTAAAATAGCATTCATTTGAGGTGCCACAAGTGGGGTGGTGCTATTTAATTTTTTTAAGTTGGGGTATGTGGGGGTTAGGGGGCTGCTGGGGGTGCTTTATAAATTACGTTAAAAATGTCCCCCTGAGGAACAAAATTGACCTGTTTCGGCGTTTTTGCAAAGTCTTTTTAGTTCTTTAATTCTTAGTCAATTTTACAAAATGTTAAAAATTGGGTACTTTTGGTAGACAATTTTTCGAAAAATTTAATCAAAATTAGTCATTTTGATGTAGTGATGTAAAATGTAGATCTAAAAATTATTTCTGATTAGGGTTGTTCGTTCCAGAGATATTGTCAAAATTTCAAAATTCTTGAAAAGAGCAAATAATTGGTCATTTTTGTTAATATTTTTGGAAAGAATATAATCAAAATCAGTGATTTTTAAGTAGAATCAGTCCGGAAATATAAACTTTAGAACTACGGTATATTGCTATTTTTATATATTTACATTAAATTATAAAAAACTTGTTCTTAAGTACGATTATTTTGACAATAAAATAAAGAAATAAAAATAAATTACAGCTGCAGTAATACTTATAACAATATTAGTAAGTTTCTTGTATTTTTTTATAGTTTTTATTAGACAATTATACTAACTGGAAACATTATCATTTTTAAAAACACTTTTATTTGATCTGTCGCAAGTGAGTCGGTGTCATTTGAAATTCCGAAATTGAGGTGGAATAAGTTAGAGGGTTAGTGGGGGTGCTTTTAAAATTGTGTCAAAAATGTCTTTTTTATAACAAAATTAACCTATTTCGTTTTTTTTTTGCAAATTTTTTCTAGTTCGTTTTTATTAGAACACCCTGTAACTCATGAAGGGACGGTCTGATTCAATTTTGGTAAAAAGTTTTGAAAAGCTTGTTAAAATAGCTTTCATTTGATGTGCCACAAGTAGGGTAGTGCCATTTAAATTTTTAAAGTTGGGGTGCGTGGGGGTTAGGGGGTTACTAGGGGTGCTTTAAAAATTACGTCAAAATTATCCTCCTCAGAAACAAAATTGACCTGTTTTGGCGTTTTTTCAAAATTTTTTTAGTTTCTAATATACTCGGGGTGGCTTATTTCATTGGAACACTCTGTATATGATATTCGGAATAAAACTATCACTTTTACTCCTAATTACATAATATACTATTAATTGGACGTGTCAAAATTTTTATAATTATTGCTTTTAAAATTCTTTTAGGTTTTAGTTTTTAAGTATTAATTTAAGGAAAAATATATAAAAATTAAAGTAAATTTTTTGTAGTAAGTTTTAATAGCTTTCAGCTACAGCGACATGGTTTACATAGTTTTAAAAGCCATTTGAGTGAAATAAAGCTTGAGTTTTGAGCTTTCAAGAGCAAAAAATTCATAACAAACTTWATAAAAATGTAACAGCAGTAAAGTTTGCACCTAGACGGTGTAATAAAAATATTTTTATTTGTGCGTCTTGAAGGAGTTTTACGACGAAAATTTTCTTTTGTAGTGCTGACTATTTTAAATTTAAAAAAACACCGACTTTATCTTCTTTTTATTGATTTCTCTCTCTTAACTGCAGAATTCTAAAGCCTTGTAATAAATAAATCAAGAAGTTTCGTTGAAACTCTCTTGTATAAAGTATTGTTCCATGGTTAATTGCAAATCGATAAAATTAACTATTTGTCAATATTTCAACATTAGTAAAAATTTACCTTGTAAAGACTTTTTGAAAAATTTATTACCAGATATTGTTAGAGCACACATGTGTGTTACTAATTAATTATTAATTATAATAAGTGGCCAAAAAATACGTTTTATTAAAGCTTAAATTGTAATTTCTTTTTCAATTTGAATTTTGGATTTTTCAATACAAAATTCCTTTGTATTGGATCAGGAAACACAAAAACGTGTACACCATTTTCACAATCTGAAACTCAAATGAGCAAAAATTCAAAAAATGAGTAATTCAACCTTTAGACCCAATTCATAGTTGATGACAAGATTTTCAGAAAATCTGAGCTGAAACGGATTTTTCGAAAGAATTGTCATAATGGCAGCAAATTGCAAATTTTCGCGGTTTAAACTACACCATCCAATGGAGGTATTTGCCTCAAGTAAAACGTCCACCTGAAAAAAACCACAATTTTTGTTTTTTTCTCTCAATTGAAAGATACATCAGATTCGAGACTTTGTCCTGTAAAAATAATTGCAAGAAATGTCGTTACTGAAACAAGACCTAGGGTGCAAATCCGTGGATATCTTCCTTCTAGAGTCCCCTCAAACTGTTTTTAGTTCAAATCAAAAGTTTAGAAAATAAAAATTTTACTTACAGTAAAACAGAAAACCAAAGTATTGACAAAAAACAAAACTCCAATGATTGCATATAAGGGTATCCACTTTTTCAACACTTGAATGGCAAACCTTCCAACTCTTCAACAACAAATTATTAATTTTTACTAAATTATTACTCACTTTATCATTTGGGCGTGTCGTTTGATGCAGAATTGAAATCTTTGTTTGACTTTATTTTGGTAAAATCTGCTTCGGAGT